TTAGCAATGCTTCTTAAGGCCCATTCAACCTCACTCCTCAGGATGTCTGGTTCTAATTCATTCACCACACTGTCAAAACTATCCTCAATATTATTATCCTTCCTATACAGATCTTCTGTATAGTCTCGCCACCTTCTCTTGATCTCTTCAGCTTCTGTTAGTCCCTGCCATCTTTGTTTCTTATCATACCAATTTTTGCCTGAAATTTACCTCCAATGTTTCTAATTTTCTGGAAGAGGTCTCTTGTCCTTCCTATTCTGTTGTCTTCTTCCACTTCCATGCATTGCTTATTTAAAAATAGTTCTTATCTCTTCTGGCTAACCTCTGGAATTGCGCATTTAACTGGGCATATCTCCCCTTTTCACTGTTTCCTTTTGCTTTCCTCCTTTCTTGGGCTACTTCCAGTGTCCCAGCAGACAACCATTTTGCCTTCTTGGTTTTCTTTTTCTTTGGAACGTACTTTGTTGCCGCCTCCTGAACAATGTCGCGGACTTCTGTCCATAGTTCTTCTGGGACTCTGTTTACTAAATCTAGTCCTTCAAATCTGTTCTTCATTTCCACTGTATATTTGCTAGGAATGTTAGTGAGATCATATCTAACTGGTCTGTGTATTTTCCCTGATCTCTTTACTTACTTACTTTACTTACTGTCCTGAATTTGGAGTTAATATAGGTAGCCAGATTTTGTTCATTTTACTTACTTACTTTACTTACTGTCCTGAATTTGGAGTTAATATAGGTAGCCAGATTTTGTTCATTTTGATTGTCCTTTTTTTGGGCTACACCCTCACAAATACACTTTTTCCACTCCTATCTCATCCAGGGTTTAATCTTTTTATCATTTTACTTGGAAGTAAGAGCCTCCCCCCCCCGCACCCCCCAAAACAGTCTCCAAAGCCCCCAAAATCCTGACCTCCTTCTGTCCCAAACACAGGAGCTTTCCTTCCCTGGAGGAAGCGCGCGCGCAGCCCAGGCTCCCTCTCCTCTTTGCAACATTGGCCAAGTGCAGGGCCTCTCCAGGAGCGCGCCGCTCGCCTTGCTTTGGCCTCCTTTTCCCGCTGGCCCTGCTGGCCCAATGCGGCCAGTTCAGGCTTCCCTGGAGGGCCCGAGGACGGAGGAGTTCCTTGCAGGTCCGGTGGGGCGTCCAGGGAAAGGTGGGGGTCTGGCATCGAGCGGAATGGGAGAGGCGAAGGAAGGAGAGCTGAGAAAGGGCCCCATGATGGCTGTGCGCCTCCAAAGAGAGACTTTTGCGCGCAGGCGGGATGATGAAGTTTTGACACCCTGAAACTGCCCTTAAGTACGCAGATAGTGGGCTAAACACCAGGAATGGGGGGAAGAAGGGTCGGTTAGGGATGTGGGCCCCGATCCTATAGGCATACTTCCGTGGCAAGGAAACCCCAGCGTTTTGCACCTGAAAAAACCAAACCCATGCGTAAAATGGCATTGCGCCTTCAAGTCCCCTCTCCGTTGGTAAGGAATAGACTTAGGAGTAAAGGTGTGCCGTCGGGCCCAGTTGTACAATGCACGCTGAGGAGGGAATGGGTTGGTAGGTCTTCCTTTGGGGAAGGGAAACGCTCAGGGCAGGAACCCTGAAGGCCCACATGGCTTAAATCCTTTGCTCACATGTCATTCACATAGGATTGCAGACCAAGTTTTTTCATAGTCAAATGGTGCACTTTGGAGCAAGTCCTATGCACTGGCAAGGCATGTAGCCCGAATTTCTGATGGTGGTCCGCGAGAAGGCCTTACTGGTGCATTATTTAAACTGCTATGTTTATTCATATCATGATCTGATCACTATACTCAATATATGTAATCAAGGAGCCCCCGTTGGCGCAGTGGGTTAAAGCACTGAGCTGCTGAGCTTGTTGATCGAAAGGTCACAGGTTCAATTCCGGGGAGCGGCGTGAGCTTCCGCTGTCAGCCCTAGCTTCTGCCAACCTAGCAGTTCGAAAACATGCAAATGTGAGTAGATCAATAGGTACTGCTCCGGCGGGAAGGTAACAGCGCTCCATGCAGTCATGCCGGCCACATGACCTTGGAGGTGTCTATGGACAACGCCTGGCACTGGCTTTGAGCAATTGCAGTGTTGCGCTCCTGAACAGGAATTTATTTATTTATTTATCATGTCAGGAGCGAATCAAAACAGTTGTATTGCATTAAAAAACAAACAAACAAAACACAAAGTTAGCAGGCTTGGTATTCTATTAAATGTCCTTTGACCAGGAGCTGGCCACTTGGAGTGCCTCTGGTGTTGCTGCAAGAAGGGTCCTCCATTGTGCATGTGGCAGGGCTCAGGTTGCATTGTAGGAGGTGTTCTCAACCTGGGGTCCCCAGATGTTTTTGGCCTCCAACTCCCAGAAATCCTAACAGCTGGTGAAGTGGCTGGGATTTCTGGGAGTTGTAGGCCAAAAACATCTGGGGATCCCAGGTTGAGAACCACTGCAGTAGGTGGTCTGTGGTTTGCTCTTCTCTGCACTCGCATGTCGTGGACTCCACTTTGTGGTCTCATTTCTTAAGGTTGGCTCTGCATCTATTGGTGCCGGAGCGCAGTTTGTTCAGCGCCTTCCAAGTCATGCAGTTTTCTGTGTGCCCAGGAGGGAGTCTCTCATTTGGTATCAGCCATTGATTGAGGTTCTGGGTTTGAGCCTGCCACTTTTGGACTCTCGCTTGCTGAGGTGTTCCAGCAAGTGTCTCTGTAGATCTTAGAAAACTATTTCTTGTTTTAAGTCGTTGGCGTGCTGACTGATACCCAAGCAGAGGGTCGACCGGAAATGTCACTGCCTGTCACGTTGCCAGGGCTCTACCTTATTTAGGTAGAGATGAACCAAACTCCCAGTTTTATCAAACAGTTTAATTAAAACAGCACTTACTTGCTGGCTGATTTAATAGACCAAAACATAAAACATAAAGATAGCACCCAGCCACAGAATAAACAAAAACTGATAGCAAAAACAACTCCGTAGTCAAAAGGGTCCAGTCCAGTGGTCAAATGCCGAGAGTTCAATAAACAAAGTCCAGGGATCAAGAGTCTATACCGTAGTCAAAAGCCAGTCCAAAGGTTCAAGGTTCCAGGATTCCAAGATTACAGGAGACAGGTCAGGATACCGAAAAATCCAACAGACCTGGGGGAAAAACCAGCAGCATCCACCACCAAAATACAACAGATACTTTTCTCCCAAAGATCAGTCTCAAGGTTAGCTCCTTAAATCCAGTAACACCCAGCTGCAACCCATCTCCTGCACACCTCCACCTCTAATTGCTTTCACCCATGAACTCCCACTTACAGATTACCAAACCCTCTAGAACTAATACTCACATTAACCCTTCCATCACAACCACCATCAACTGCAGAACATATGACACTGCCTTGGTCCTATCACTACTGGTTGCTACTCCCCAGCGGATGTCAGGTGGTGCAATACCGGCTAAACAGTGTAATTTCTCCAGTAGTGTAGGGCGCAGACACCCCGTGATAATGCGGCATGTCTCATTAAGAGCCACATCCACTGTTTTAGCGTGGTGAGATGTGTTCCACACTGGGCATGCATACTCAGCAGCAGAGTAGCAAAGCACAAGGGCAGATGTCTTCACTGTGTCTGGTTGTGATCCCCAGGTTGTGCCAGTCAGCTTTCGTATGATATTGTTTTTAGCACCCACTTTTTGCTTGGAGCCACACACGTTGATTGGAAAACAATCCTTTTACTGAAGATAAGTAAAAAGGAGCAAAGTAAAAAGTACTTAAAAGAAATAGGTAAATCCAATTAGGTAAGAAGATAAGCAGGAACAAATTAGTTGAAGGTAGAGTTCAGCTACATCCATAAAAGCAAAGTCCACACATCTCCAATACAATCCAAAAAATCAGAAATACATTGATCCAAGGATTGGGTAAGCAATCATGAAATATACGAATCCAAAACCATGAACAAGAAATACCTTAGCATGAAACTTCAAAGCAAGGTTTCCATAAAACCTTGGAGGGCTGTATCCAGGCTCCAGGCCTTTGTTTGGGGACCCCTGGCCTTAATGAATCAGTCTTATCAGTTCTTCTGTTGCAAGCATAACTCCAGAACGACTGGGAAACCTAGGGAGTACCAACTAGCCACTAGCTAGCTGGTTTTGTCCTGATGTACTTTTAACCTTGAAAAATAACTTCCTCCCTGCAGCAATGTTTTCTCAAACTATCAGTGCTATTTGTAAAACAAAGGCCGTCTGCAAAAGCAGGCCAATTTGGCAGTAAATTAGGACATATGGGCATTTGGAACATCCCTGAAAATTCCCCTTTAAAAGTACATCCCCTTCACCAGAGTACATAGTACATCACCTTAGGCAAAAAAAAAAAAAAACCCTGCAAAATTACCTATACACAATCCTAGTCATAGTGAGAGCCAGGATATGAGAGATGTTTGAGTATTGGACTACATCTCTGGAAATGAGCATTCAATTTGCCACTCAGCCATGGCTTGCACTGGAAGATCTTGGCTCAGTCACATTTTCTCAGCCCCAGAAAAAGGCAAAGACTGAACAGACCTCACCAAGAATGGCCATATGTTGGAAGGCACACAACAGTGGTGATACTGGTAATAGTTATGTCAGAAAGCACCACCACCACATTAAATATTTGACTGTTTCTTTTTTGTTTGGGGCAATTAGCGCACTCTGCTCTGGCTCTGGCTCATTTGTGGTTTTTACCAACCCTGCAGAAATATGAATTTGCTCATCTTATTGTGATATATTGAAATACCATTCTGTATGGTCAGCTATTAGGAAGTTTTTCATATTTCTGGCAATATTTTTTTGTGAAAAATTACTTCGTGGATACTGTTTTCTGCACAAAAACACCCTCTTTGTAGTGCAGCATTTAGAAAAATAGGTTAAAGTGTGAAAAAAGTAGTTTTCAAATGAATGCCAATTTTTTGTAATTTCTCTTAGGAAGGAGAAAACATTTGGAGTTACTTGTTCTTGCCTGCAAGTATGAAATAATTCATTGTGACCTGAAGAATGGTAACTCTTGCTCTTCCTTTCAGTAGGTCCAGCCTAAAAATGGAGAGCACAAAAGCCCCCAAACATGGTGAGCAATGCAACCAAATTGAAATTGCTAAAATTGTTGCGCAAAAAAGCCATGAAGTCGACAGTTCATCCCATGAGAGAATGGGGAGCTGTATTAATGGCGAAGCAAAGACCGGAGTCCTGCATCCCAATTCATTTGGACAATTGCTGGAAGCAGATGTAGATAGTGAACCGCGCCAGGTTTTGAGAGAAGAAGAGAAACACTTTGTTTTGCTGGAGACAGTGCATTTGAAAATAGAGGAGGATGATTTCCAGAGGGCTCCTCTGGACCATCCGCAAGACAGATTCCAAGACGTGATGCAAAGAGAGCAAAACCTTTTACAGCCTTTGGAAGTGATGCCACAACACTTATGCATTCAGGAGAACCCTGAACCACTTCTAGCACTAAGTTTGCCTGAAGGTGTGTATACGATCCATGAGATGGAAGTAATGCATGTCAGTGGTATGAAGGAGGAGCACACATTCAACGAAGACGCAAGGTCAACTATGAAGACCACAAATATCATTGGGATTAAGGTATTGTTAGTATTATTCTATGTTTTCCCAGTTTGGGACTCAGTGTGGCTAAAACAAAGTGAAAAATCATAACATAAAACATTTTAAAAGTGATTAAATTACAAAAAATGTACACTTACCTACTTTACTTACTTAGGCAATCCCTCGTAGTCTGAGGATGATGGTCTTCCAAGGTCGGTGTTCTGTCGGTGGGTCCGTAGGTGACTGTGGAGCCCAATTCTTGATCTTCATCTTCTCCCGCAGTGAGGGCATTGGTTTCCAGGTGGAAGGCGGCCCCAGTTGGGTTGGCTTGACGCACCTTCCTCTTGGCACGTTTCTCTCTTTCGCCCCCCATTCGTGCCTCTTCAAACTCCACAGCACTGCTGGTCACAGCTGACCTCCAGCTGGCGCACTCAAGGGCCAGAGATACCCAGTTCTCAGTGTCTATGCCACAATTTTTAAGGTTGGCTTTGAGCCCATCTTTAAATCTCTTTTCCTGTGCACCAACTTTCCGCTTTCCAGCACAACCCTTGTATTTGTGTATGGTCTCTCCAAGCATTTCCTAGCTTCTCCAGTGTGACTCTGTGGTGTTCCTGGGGAGGAAGTCCTAAATATTAATAGCATTCACTGTTAACCATAGTTTTGTGAAAAGTCTAGGAATGTATTCTGCATAGATATAATAGGGTTCATACTGTAGCAAGTAACACATCAGATAATAATCCATCACATCATACAGTACAAAACTTATTTCCCACTAAAAAAAAGTTCTCCAAGGATATTGGAATAAAAGATTATTCAGTTGTGTGTAGAAAGATAAGGAGGATGCCAGTTCGGCCTCTTTTGAGGAAGGAGTTTCAGAGCCTGGGAGCAGCCAAGGAGAAATCCCTCTTAGTTTCTACTAGATGTATTGCTATGATAATGGGTCAGAGAGAAGATCTCAAAACATTGACAGCTTCAACTGAGTGAATATGGTCCCCAAAACTATACTGTTTATAACCAGCATAACCAGCACTTTCAGTTGTGTCCCAAAACAGACCAGAAGCCAGTGGAGCTGTTGCAACCAGGAAGTTGTGTGCTCCTTGCAGGCAATTTATTTATATATATATATATATTATTTACACCATTTCTACCCTGCCCTTCTCACCCCCGAGGGGGGACTCAGGGCGGCTAACACAGACAACAATTCAATACCAACAGTATCAATAACAACAGTATAAACCCACAATATAAAATCCTATTACATAAGAATTAAACAGTGATATTAATTAAAATTACATAATCATAGAATCATAGAGTTGGAAGAGACCTCATGGGCCATCCAGTCCAACCCCCTGCCAAGAAGCAGGAATATTGCATGCAAAGCACCCCTGACAGATGGCCATCCAGCCTCTGTTTAAAAGCCTCCAAAGAAGGAGCCACATAGAACAAATCACATAATCACAAGTCATATAGCCATTTCCAATTTTCATAACAATCCTATTGTCCGAGTTCAGTGCCTAAAGTGCTGCTGTGCCCACTAGCCAAAGGCCTGGCTCCAAAACCACATCTTTAGTTTTTTCCTAAAAGTAAGGAGGGAGGACGACGATCTGATTTCGCTGGGGAGCGAATTCCACAAGCGGGGGGCTCACCACCGAGAAGGCCCTAATTTGGCTACAGCTCTTTGGACCAGCTGAAATGTCCAAACTCTGCAAAAACAGGCCCACATATTGCACATTTCAATAAATGAGGGATGTGTCTCAGGTGTAAGGTCCCATCAAGCAATTCGGTTTGAAACTGTATTATATGGTCAGTGTAGATGAGGCGTTAGTTATGTGGCACAATGGCTGGCTCTGTTTCTTAGTGAAGGTAACAGCTGTATATCCCATCAGACTGGGGCCAAAACATGAATCTGAAATCCACTTCACTCTCTGGGATTTTCCAGATGGCACACCCCTTCCTTGAATGCCAGTTTTTGAGTTATAAAGGGTGTGTATTGTTTTGTTAAGTGGAAGTATGGTCAGAAAATATGTATTGCATATAATCTCTGACCTGACCAAACCCTGCATAAAATACCCTCAGAAGCACTTTATTTTACCTGTTAGTGCAATTAAACCCTACTTCATCCCTCGGATCCCCTGTCCAGAGGCATTACATTGCTCTCTCACCCAGTGTTTTTAAACTTTTAATCTCTACAACCGGCCCTGCCCACTGTGATCAACTTTCTCTTTCTGTTTATATTGTTCTGATGTGTTTATTTATATTGTTCTTGTATTTTATCTTATTTTTTTATATTTTGTTGTTGTATTCTTATGTTGCAATTTTGCATTGTTGTATTGCTGGGATTGGCCTCATGTAAGCCGCCCCAAGTCCCTTTGGGGAGATGGTGGCGGGGTATAAATAAAGTTTATTGTTATTATTACTATTATTATACTGGTATTTTCATTTTCCCATAGGTTTGCACCACACCCCAAAAGCCTCCCCTATTTATTTATTTATTTATTTATTT